ATTTTTTTCCTTCAGCCACGAATGGACCAATACTTTGAACAAATGAAAAAAATTATTGTCCAAAAGAAAACATCGTCAAGATGTCGGTTTATGYTRCAAGATGTGGTAGAYCTYCGCAGCAATAACTGGGTGCCGCGAAGAGATGAAAACAAYCCMAAAACCATTGACCAGATACACAAAGAGGTCGCAGAGGAAGAGAAAAAGACTATGATTGCAATCCAGCAATCTCGGCAACAAAAACGAGACAATCCYAACAAAGGTACAATAGTCTTCTTCACRGTTCYYMGCGCCAWCTTGAAAGGTAGCCGTGCCTTTRCATCWAAGTGAGATGACTGTTGAGCGTGCAATGATAGAAACCTTCTTTCACACCTACAGACAATTATTCACAGGTTTCTATCATTGCACGCTCAAYGGTYGTCTCRCTTTSATGMMARGGCAYGGCTACCTTTCAAGATGGCGCATGTAACCGGTGAAAGAGACTATTGATGYAATTCTCTTGAAGTACTTGATATGCATCCTCCAATGTGSGATGATAAYAAGGTCATGTCATACCATGTATTTGTGAGTCCAATTGATTATATTGTCAATCTGTAGGGCGAGATAGTCCAAGACCTTCTGGTGTACCACAAGCTGACGAAACCTGGACAACTGTACCAGGAAGAACAAGAAATGTTAATGTTGATCCCAAGAAATTCCAAGATGCCAAAAAGGTTAGTTGACAAACATTTTTCACTTTACTTTGCGTTCTCCTTGAAGTTATCAAGACTCCTTTTTGGTTCACTCCCTTCCACCCTTCCCATTTTTCCACCCCATTTAGTGTTCATCTTTTTAACCATTCACTTGATATTTCAGCGCACTAACGTAGATACAGAGAGTATCTCGTTAGGTCCTGGTGGGCGTGGTCCAGGTGCCTGGGCACGTGGTAGTAGCGGTGGTGTAGGACCTTCAGCTGTACCAGGAACTCAAAATACTGAACAAGAATCAAGAGGAAACAGGTAAAATAAAAGTATAATAATTATATACATGTATTATGAAAAAGTAGATTGCGATATGCAAGTGCTAGCTCAATAAGACTTCATTCTTATGTGTTTTGTAGTGGTACTCTTACTTGATCAATATTCAACAGTCTGGGCCTTAGTGCTGATGCAGTAGATTATACTGACATCATATATGCTGGGCTCACTAATGTCGAACTGCTGTATATCATATTAGCTGTATTGAGTATATAATTGTGGATGCCCAAGTGATGGAACTATAGTTGGTAACATTTTTTTTCCATAGATTCTCTGCTTTGGGTAGTGAAGGAAGGAGAGGTCCTGGTACATCAAGGTAAGTACATGTATTGCTATCTCAGTTGAGACCTCACAGTTATGTCCCATTTTAGAACCAATCTTTTTGCATTAGTTCCTTATAGGAAATGGTTGCCTTTCCCATTTTTAATCAGTATTGTCTAGAATAAGTGCTATATAAAAAAGAATGGATTTTCTTATGACCAGTAATTCTGCAGATTTCTGACCTTATATTTGTGTGGTATTTGTGATAATTATGTGTTCTGTTGTTGATATTTGTAACGTTTATTGTCATTTGTCCCACTAGGCAAGGTTCTGGTGCTGGTCGCCAAGACGCCCGTAACCAGGGACCTCCTGGACGCCGCCCAATGCATGATCGCGAGAAAGCACTTGAAGCTGTTAGAAATGTTGTACAGACAAAGGTAAATACAATACCATCTAACAGTAGTATCTGGCCRCATTTGATTTAATATTAACTCTGTTTTCTGTTCTATATTAGCCAAGACAAGAGGATCGTGATACAGGATCACCACGTTTGGAGGAAGTTGAACCAGTCAAAACACCAACCCCACCCCCACCCTCAGTGTCACCACCTGTCAAACAGTTATCAGATGAAGATATCAGACACAAGGCTATTGGACTGGCTGATGAATACTTTGGCATCAAAGACTTAAAGGTGAGATTCTTGCATACAAATTTTGATTATGCACTTGGTATATTTTATTTTTGTTTAGTTTTAAAGCATTGGCAAGTTTTGTTTTTGTTTGAAAATATAAATACTTCATGATACATGTACATACATGCAAATTGAATGAGGGAAAGATTCCATCTTAAAGACCTAACACTCGAAATTTTTGTAGTCATTTTGATCCTACAAAAGATTGCTAAAGACTTAACTTTAAAAAAAGATTATTCAATGCATTGAGATGTGCAAACTAAACGTCTCGTCTWTGATGTGACCAAATCTTGTGATATATTTGAAAATTGCAGCAAAAATCGTGGCAAAAAAAACAATGTAAATAGGTGTCAAGACTACACAGACAGACAAAGAGACATATTCTCGCATTCATTACTTCTTAAGCAGTTGTTTAAGTTATRTTTCTTGATACTTCTAGGAAGCTAAATATTGTGTGGAGGAGCTAGACCCATCAACACATCAGCAACTMGTTTACCACTGCCTAAATCACTGTCTTGAGAAACACAGCTCAGAGAGACTAGCCATAGCAAAAATGATGTTTTACCTCAGGAAAAATGATATTATATCAGAAGAAAACTACATTAATGGGTAATAATTATTACTGATTAATAATTTATTATAACTAGTTATTATTATTATAGACCTCTTGCAGTTTGAGAGAATGCAACTACAACTGGATGACAACAAAAATGGATTCTACAATCCAAGACAAAATTGGATGAGACAGAACGCTATTACTGCGCTCTCTAGCGGTGCAATCGCTTACTGGCTGTTTTAATTTTTAGTTTGTTGCATTCACATAGCTTTTATGACATTGTTTGCATCGTTTATTGAATAAACTGTAATGATCTCTAATAATRATCTCGAATATTGATCTAATGATTTATATTTTTATATTATATCCCAGATTAAAGCAATTATTAGAGTTTGCAGAGGACATGGAAATTGATATCCCACATGTATGGAAGTACTTTGGTGAACTAATAGGACCATTGATACTAGACAACGTCTTGTCATTACACCTTCTTAGTGACTGTATTGTATCACTGATACAAGACAAGACAAAGCAGGCTAAATTATTAGCAGAAATTTTATTAAATGCTTCAAAGGAATCAGTAAGTATTTTGCCATTTCAATGATGCCTTTATGCAGGGTTCGTGCTACTTGATATCCTTGGAAAGTCGTGGAAACTCGTTTTTCAACGGCGCTTGAAAAGCCTTTTTAGAATGGGGAAAAATTGCTAAAATTCCAGGAAAACTCCTTAAGTCTGATGAAATTGACATGCTGCTTTTTTGAAAATTGGCTCTTTAAAAGTTACCAAATATCAAAAAAATATTCAAAAATAGTCCTTGAAAATCGCATTTTTGTCCTTAAAAAGTACTTGAAAAGTCCTAGAATTTTGTTTAAAAATATAGAAYGAACCCTGTTTGTGGGTGTTTTCATATTTTCAAGTAAAAATTGTTCATGCATAGGCATATTCAGGCCTATTTTGTGTTTAATGAAACTGTCAACAGCAGCATTAGATCAAGTTTAATTGTAAAAAGAAGAACATTGACTTAAAAATGTCTGCTTTGTTTGTTTGTTTGTTTGTTTGTTTAGAGTCCAGGAGAAGTTGGTTCAATATGGTCCAAATCAGGACTATCATTTAGCATATTCTTCTCTTCAAATGATGAAGCGAAAGAGTTTATCAAAGATAAAGTAAGAGCATTAGTGTATTAGGTTATTATTCGCGACTTGTGTTATTTGGCTGATAATTATAATTTCCTTTCTTACCTTTCTTGTATTTTTTTGGTTCTTTACTCTTCATTTCCTACTATGTATAAAACTTCCATTTCAAAACTTTTTTTACTAGAGAGTTGATTCTTTATGTCAAATATTTCACTGCTTAAAAAAATTGCTTACTATAAGAAAAGAGACCACGAATGAAAACTAGTTAYGCACAGATGCCCACACTTTCAAATGTTGTAGCATAGTTGCTTCAGACTCATACGAGGAATTAGCTACAAAAATCAAATGAGTATATTCCCATTCCCATTTGCCTGAAAATTAAGTGCAGACGTTGTTAAAACTAATCTCTACTTTGTTTTGCTGTTTTAAGAATTTAGATTCAATTGTTTCAAGTGGTTCGCATGCATCTAACGTACAAGAAGAACTTAGAAATTTAATATTGACAAAGAAAGTCAGTAATGAAGATGTTTTCAAATGGGTTGATGTAAGTACTTGACAGCAATAGACTTCTGAACCTTTTGCGTCACTACTTGATTTGCAATGCACTGTGGAATCAGTTTCACTAGGAAACAAAAAACCGCCATGTTCTGTCACAAACATATCCTACAATGCATTGCGTATACGGTACATGACGTAAAAACTTCAGAGGTTAATGGGTCATAATTATCAAGCACTCATACACCTAGTTATAAAGCGTTGCTGGATTCAGAAAAAAATGGAATCTAATATTGCAATGGTTCATGGGAAGGCAATTGACTAACTGTAGTTAACTTATTATATTCTTGATTCAGGGTAATGTATCAAACCCCAAGGAACCTAAGTTCATCCGTGCTCTAGTAACAGCTGTCTGTGAAGGCTGTAGAAAAGGTAGGTCCTTGCGAATAGTGGCATAAGGCAGCAGGCCGTTTAACCTGTTAATTATTTACTAGTTGGTTTGATTGATATGATTGATTTAGTGTGAATGTGCTCTAGTAAGCATGCCCGCCTATGATTATAAAGAAATCATTTTGCTACCACAGTAGAGCAGAGTCACATGAACCATGAAATAAGAACTAAAAAGTACTAACTAATAGGCACTATTAGTTCCTAATAGTCGTTAGCACTGAACCAGAACAGTTTATTTAACCCAATAAGCAATACCCAAGAGACCACTTTAACAATCAAAGTAATGTCTTTGTACTGTTCTGGTTCAGTGATGGTGTCTAAATAGTGCCTATTAGTAACTAAGTATTTAGTTTCTATTTCATGGTTCAAGTGACTCTGCTCTAGCAAACAAGTTGTTTGATTAAATAATTTATTTATTATTTAAATTATCTGGATAATTGACATTATTCAATGATTCAATATGACWGTTCAATTGATCATTTAATGGCTTAAACTGACAGGTGTCAATTATCGGCTCATTAGCATAATTAAAGTTCATTCATTCCTTACTTATTCATCTCTCCATTTAATCATTTCTTCGTCCATTTTTAATTCATCTATTAATTTAATCCTTTATTATATTTGAATTAACTGTATATAATATCTGTATAATATATTTTTATTAACTATATATTATCTCCCCAGGCACGCCAAGTGGGTCCGAAGACTCGTGTGATGTTGACTTATTTAGACAAAGAATTCCTCTCTTAAAGAAATACATTGATGATAATAGTTCGTTAGAGCTACAAGCTCTGTTTGCCCTACAGGCTTTAGCAGTACAACTGGACCAACCACCAGGTTAGTACTAGTATTATTGCTAGCCCTGCTTACATTAGTGCTGGAAATTGTCAGTCAGGGACTGAGAGGGATTCTGGGAATTCTTCCAAAACAAAGAACACGTGATTATACTTAAACTGTGGTGTCAAAGCGGCTTCGTCTGGATCGATCAAAAAATATTTTGATACTTAAATTATTAAATTTTTAATACTTTACTAGCGGTAAACTAGTGTGAGCTGCGTCGGTGTTTCTAAAGAAACAGTTGTGTAAAAAGATAAATTTAACACCGTAAAAAAAGGATGTGAAATAAAAATTGAAAAGAAACAGTTGTGTAAAAAGATAAATTTAACACCGTAAAAAAAGTAGATGAAATAACTTTGATTAACGGAACGTCAGTAAGTTATTTCACTTGCTTTTTTACGGTGTTAAATTTATCTTTT